CATCAAGATTGTAACTTTACGTGCTAAATGAGCTTGGAGGGACTGGATCTATGGATTAATGAACTGGATCTGACCTTTAGAGCAAGATTGAGTCAGTGCATGGCATGGACTCGCCGAGTCCGAAGAACAGACTCGGCGAGTAGCATGAATGTTGCCCGACCACTCTGTGAGTGGCCTCGCCGAGTTGGGAAAGGTGGACTCAGTGAGTCAAGGGGGAGTCAGAATGGACAGGTGGACTGAGTCTAACTGGACTCGCCGAGTTGTTCTTGAGACTCGGCGAGTTGAGTTGTGGTGGCCCCACAACTCGTGCCAGGTGGAACTCGTCGAGTTGAGGGAATGCTCGACGTGTCAAGGGAGGATTCCAGGGAAATTGGTGTACACGCCCAGACTCGCCGAGTCGCCTGGGTACTCGCCGAGTCCGGTCAAAGTTGACCGTTGACCGTTGACCAGCGTTGACCTAGATTGACTTGTTATAGTGTGGTCAACCCTAGTGGGAAAGTGTTAATTAGAGGTGTATTGTGCTATAGGGGGACGACAGCTCGACAGGTCGAGTGATTAGCGATTTCAGGTTTACGATTTACCGAGACACGCGAGGTGAGTCTTCTCACTATACTTTACCTTGAGTAGGTAACCAGAGTTATGTGATAGAGTATTTGTATGCTATGTATGTTATGTGTTGTACTGCATTACTTCTATGTGTTTGATGCTGTGCATGTTTACAGAGTTAGAACCGGAAGGTTCACAGAGTTAGAACCTGAGGGTTCACAGAGTTTGGGTGCACGGACCCACAGAGTTATAGCCTCGAGTGGCTAATATGTGTTATATGTAGTATTTTGGGGAACTCACTAAGCCTTGTGCTTACAGTGTTGATGTTATTGTTTCAGGTACTAGTGATGACCGCGGGAAGGCGCCGGCTTGATCCGTACACACACATATTCGGAGCTTGATATCATGATCTTGGAATTTTTGTATTGTCTTGTTTGGATAATTAAAATGGTTGTTAAATGAATATCAATGGAATTATGTTTTATAAAAATTGAAAATTTTGTTTTGAAAATTTTCGGTGTTACATTCCTCTCCCCAGCCTCTTTGATCCCCCTTGAAGTCCAGAAACCCTAGAAAGCGTGATTGTGGAAGATTAGAGTGCATTTGGAGCTTGGGGAGGTATTTGTTGAAGAAATCTTGAAGGAGAAGAGGGTTGGATCAAAGGGATTTGCTTGGATTCGAGTTTCATTGCAGTTGGGGCGTTCTTTTGAGGTAATATCTCGTTCTTGTGCTGTTACGCATGTGGATTCTTCAGTTTGGGGTTTATAGGGAGCTTATCTTGGTATGTTTTGGAGTTTGGAGGTTAGATATGAGGTTGCTACCTCAGATCTGGAATATTGAAGGCCTAGAGTGCATTAAAGTCCATGTGTTTGAGTGCCTAGTGAAGCCATCATGTCCCAAACCCTAGCTCTAAAGTGAATAAGGCCTAGATCTCTTTGGATTCACGTAAAGTTTGCCACTTTACATGATGGATGGATTGTAGGAGGATAGATCTATGTTTTGGATCAATTGCATGGCCTAGAATGCTTCTGTATGGATTAAGACCGGTGGTACTCGGCGAGTCACATGGGTGGACTCGACGAGTTGCTTGAAGATGAGCTGGAACTCGACGAGTTGGATGAACAACTCGGCGAGTAGGTTGAAGATAGCCTTAGACTCGGCGAGTCTATTCTTGGACTCGGCGAGTCTTGTCGAAGAGTCCCAATATTTTCTGGTTGAGTCGAGAATCGGTGAGTCAAGGGATGACTCAGTGTGTTGGGTGCGAGTGGGCTCAGAGTTGATGGACTCGGCGAGTCTCGGGGTGACTCGGCGAGTTAGGTCGCGGATTGAGGGAAGTTCTGAGCATAGGGACTCGGCGAGTCATCAGGTTGACTCGGCGAGTAGAGTCAGTCAGGGGTTGACTTTGACTTTGTCCAAGGTTGACCAGTTGTCTTCCAGGGGTATTTTGGTAATTAAGGGTATATATTGAGTTGAGTGTTTTGGTGTTCAGTGGAGGAGTTCGTGTCGGAGTTCGGAGCAGCTGGATCTTATCCTTTCAGCCGGCAGTTTCGAGGTGAGTTATCCTCACTATATCAACAGGGTCTAAGGCACCAAGGCCGACCCTTTTATCAGATTGAGATCCGGGTATCTGTTGTTATGTTATTGCTTTGATATGTTTGCATCCTGGTAGTTAGGATGGTATTCGTTAGAGACCTGGTTAAGGTCGGTATCCTGGTATGTAGGGTGAGGCTATGCTAGTGACCGGTTAGTTCGGTATCCTGTTAGAGTATGTTGTGATATGTGATCTGCTAGATCGGTTGCCTGAATATGAATTGTTATGCGATTGTTTATTTATGTGCACATGGTTGTTTGGATTGGAGTTGGGTTGAGGCGCATCCTGCTTCGTGCTGTAGGCCAAGATACCCAGGGCGGACCGGTTATTCCGAAGGCCTAGCGAGCGGTCCGGATAGGCTGTAGGCCCCACGAGGGCGGACCAAATGTGCCGAGGCTCGGAGAGTGGACCAGGCCGACTGAAGGCCCGATGCGGGCAGACCAGTCATACTGTAGACTCAGAGAGTGGACCAGGTGAGTTGAAGGCCCAGTGCGGGCGGACCAACCACACTGTAGACTCGAGGGACATGATTGGACACGGAGGGTGGACCATGTGGACTGAAGGCCCGACAAGGCGGACCAGTCCCACAGTAGACCCGATATGCACGGCTGTTCTGTGATTCGTTATGAGATAGCATGTTATGTGTATGGTATATGTGGTTGGTATTTTGGGGGTATCTCACTAAGCTTTCGGGCTTACAGTTGTGGTTTAATGTTTTTCAGGTTCTTCAGGAGACTGTGGCAAGGCGAAGGCGTGATCGTACCACTCCTCATGATTTTGTGGTAATGTGATTCTGGGAATACTCTAAATGATTTGTATTGAAAACATTTTTTTAATAATTTAATGAAATCGGGTTTTTTTGGAAAAATTTAAATTGGTTGGATTTTTCGGTTGTTACACATGGGGCTCTCATGGCCATAAAGTTGGCACCTTTATGCCATGAGACCCCTCCTAAGACCCAGATATGAAGTCAAACCCCATTCAATCCCTTCATAATCCAAAAATGGCTTAGAAAGCCCCCAAAATCCCAACTCCAAAGATGAATAATCACATAAAAGGCAATACAAGAGATTTTTACCTTGAATGAACTGGAAATGGAACAAATCTCCCGGATATTTAAGCCCTAACTTGCACTCCCAAGCTTCTTTCCTCTTCTCAAGCTTCACAACCCACCAAAACACACCAAAAATGGCCTTAGAGCACACAAACAAAGCTAGGGTTTCGATATACAGTCTTATGGGAGTGATAGGGACGAAGGAGGCTGGGATAAGTTGATTAAATAGGGTGCAACCCCTCAGATTTAGGGTTTCACTCAAACAGTACCTACTCGCCGAGTCATGCTCCCGACTCGTCGAGTAGGCCACTTAAACTCTCCCATGGTCACGACTCTACTCAACGAGTTGGGCCATCAACTCGTCGAGTCCTAGAACAAATACAACAAACTTTGAATTAAATACATACTAGGAATCAGGTGTTACAATTTTCTTTTTAAAATTAGAAATAATCAAAATACAAAATAATAACATACTGAAAAAAATGTGATGCTACATCAATGTAACCGCCACACTCTTGATATAAGGAGGATTCAACCCTAAGATAAGTCATTAATTATTACTTTTTTCTACATATACATATGAACATGAGACATGGATAAGGGTCAACTTTAGTGTCAAAAATTCTATTTCTTGATAGAGATTTGTAATGAATACTTATGACTATTAAATTAAACATATCACTTTCAGTCAGGGCCCTACCAGGAACATTAGATGTCAGCATCAAACCATCGAGGGGTCCAATGATATCGCTTCTCCTATCAGGGTAGAAAGAAAAATTAAACATTGACTACATAGTTTTTGTCTACTAGTCATATCAAACATGAACATACCCTTTTGTGACTACTAGTTACAGATAGTGTTGGAGCAGACTAACGCACAATGTATCTCATTTTAAAGAATAAAAGATATTATCATCTTAGAATTACTTGTGACTTGATCCATGAAATAACTTTCCAAGTGCGGGTTGTTTCAATACTTAAATCTCTATTTCAAGTACTCATGAGTGTTAGCTCAATCTTAATTCTAAATCAAACTAAACCTAGTGTGCTCAAGTCAAATCATTTGTAAATCAAATGCCTCATAACTAAGTCTTAATATCTGAATTGGTACATGTATTGACCTAGAAAATGGATCGACACGATTTTTTTTCGATATGATTCCATTGACTATGATGTCTTCACATTCAAACAAATATCACATATAACGATACTTACTGAGTATACGTTATGTGAGCTTGCATGGTTTGGGATACATACTCGTGGTAAGTTCACCCTTATAGTCACATAATTTCTTTTGCAATCTAACTTGCTGATATACTTTGAGGTCATCAACTATTATGTATTACTTGGTACTCTTCCAAGATAATACATCGTTACTCAGTAAAATCTTGAATCTCGATTGCAAACGGAGTCCTGTTTATTTGTGTGGAACATAATGTCAGTGTAACCTTTACATTGATTTCATTCATACTAAGATCATCTCCTTTGTTCTCCTAGGAAGCTATAAAGAGTCTGGGGTCTCTCTTTAATTATGAGAAGGCTAAACTGTAAGAGATTCGTGCTGGTCTAAAAACTGACCATGAATCTTTTCAATCCACTATCTCCTCTCAGATTTCACAGCTCAAAGACTCCCTGGAAATAGATAGTAACCTTAAGGAATCTCTAGCACTCAAGTATGAAGAGGCAAGCGTGTTACGTGCCAAACTAGAAGCTTCAGAGAAACATGTCAATGATTTGTTATCTGAGAGGGTTGTCATGTGATGCTGTATTACCGATGTTACATGCATGCTCTCGGATATCCTTGAGACCATGGATTCAATGCTCACTATCACAGTTCGCAAGCATCTTTTTGAAAAGGTGAGACCATTTTTGGCAATGCTTCACAGGTTAGAAGGTGTTCTATAATTTGGCTTCATTCCGAAACAAGAGGGAGATAGGGTTTCAAAGAAATTTGATCCAAAAGTATCAAGAAACGAACCTCCCAAATCTCCAGTCAAACAAATTGTCCAGAAGGAACCTAAGGGAAAGGGAAAATTGATTAATGACGAGCCCATATTTGACAATGATGAAGACGAAGAGCCTAATGAAGCTGAATTTAAAAGGCGGAAGGCTCGTGATGCCGAGTTGAATGAAAACCAACGAATCATCAGGGAGGCAGAGGAAAAAGAAAGAGTTGAGAGAGAGGCTCAAGACACTCTTCAAAGCAAGCAGCTTTTATTTCCAAAATGGACCATGAAGCGAATCCAAAATGACACAGTCAATTTACTTAGCCAGTATTGGTTAGAGCCAACTGTGTCTTTTGAATTTCAAAATACACAAGATTCGCAGTTGGATCTACCCATTATTCCGAAGGCATTCAGATTTCGTGTGTCTGTGAAAGTTGTGAATGTTCCTCTCTTAGAGATCAGTGCTGATCAAATGTTGTTCACGTTTTATCTGAAGCACATTAAGCCTCAATACGAGACTTGGTCCCTGAGCAAGATAACTGGTGTGAAGGTCACTGGACCTATTGAGACTGATAACTTTCCAAATGCTAAATTCAAAGTTGCAAGAGGTTCAACCAGTCAAGTCTACGAGTTTACTCATGCAGATTTACCATGTCTTAATCCCAATGATGGGTCCGTTCTTTACAACATGCTGCTAAGAGAAAAATAGAAATACAAACCCGTTATGTCTCATATCCAAATAATGATCAAGTCCTACATTCAAGAGATTGGGGAAATGAATGTGGAGGTTGCAGCTGTGTTGAGAAAGAAGCCTTCTACTGTTCTTCAGGAATCTCCAAAAGATTTTGAGAAGCTGAAGCTGGGGAAGATCTATAGTAAGGGATGGTATGTGATATATCATGCTAGGGAAAGGACTGGTGCAATTTTTTGCAGGGGATGTTTCTTCCTTTCTGACAAACACTTGTACACTACTTCCTTTCTTGAGCATGTATTTGATATAGTGAAGAAGTTCTAGGGCAATAGTAAGGATGATGTAAAATGCTTCACTGATATGATTTTGTGGTACTTGCAAGTTCGACTGGCAATGTATGGCATCATTCCCAAACTTTATTAAGTTCAAAAACGAATTCAAGGATAGTGAGTTCGGGGCCCAATTGACGCAAAGGGGGAGATTATTGGCTATATAAGTGTTGCGTCATTGGGCTTATCTAGTTAACTCATTTTTTACACGGTATGGGTCTGTCCATCTATTTCTTTTATTAGGGTTAGAGTATTTATGGTGTATGCATGCATCTTATTTTTGTTAACGCTGATCTTTGCTTTGTAACCTTAACACACCTCTACAATTGAAATTCTTCATCGAGTTCATCTGAGGCGTGACTTTGAATCATTCAACATCAGCTTGATTATCATTGTGTTCTTACTTTTCCTGTTTGAATCTAATTGATCTTAAATGATTTTCATCATATCAATAGACATTAGATTTGCGAGTAAATTGGTTTGATAATTTAGTTTGTAGTTTGAAATTTTGTAACAAAAGTGTATTTTATCTAATTTGGGGATTGTTTTGTGGAGACTTAATAATAAGCTTTTACAACCATTTACATTAATATATTATGTGTTCCCTTTTGAATGTTTATAACCACTTCCAAAATATTAATTTATTCAAATTATCCATAATCAGTCCTACTCTTGGAAGTAAGTTGTGATTAAAGATTATCCTAGAACATTGGTAGATTATTCATAAGAATGAACATAGCATAGTTTGCGACCAATACTCATGATTATTTGAAAATTGAAAATGTATATTTGAAGTATTGGAGTAACCACACTTAGAGATTACTCTATGGATCATGCCATGAGTAATTCTAAGATGACATTATTTCTTATTCTCCAAATGGGGATGCATGAGGTTTTGTTCTACAACCGTGTCTTGGTTTATCCCGAACGTTGTTTGTAACTGGTAGCCATACATGTACCGATCAAATATCACATGAAAAATAGTACAAGATTATGTGGTGAATATTTATTTGATCCTTATGCAATAATAGGAGAAGTAGATATCTCTAGGCCCTCGATGATTTGGTATTCGCAATCAAATGTTTGGCTGAGCTAAGACTAAGTTCATTAGATCAACAATCAGTCTGATAATATCACCACAAAGTCTCTATCGAGAAACATAATTTTGAACACTAAGATTGAATCATGATCCAAGTCTCATGTTCATATAGATATCAAGAAGATCAAAGGAATTTCAAATCACTAGTCTAAGGGTTATGTATTGCAAAGTTGCAATAAGTACTATAGTTGAAATTAGACTGCAGACTCCCTATCTATTGTTGGTAAGTATTGGACTGGACTATTGTTGGTGCCTAATGTAAGTGGGAGCTATTTGACAATGGTGCATACTATAAATAGAATGTCTTTTTGGGTTACATACAAAAATAAATATGAGCAGAACTAGAAAGAACAGAATTTATTGGGACTAGTTTGTTAATTAATTAATTAAATGAATCTAGAGATTCTGGAATGTTTCGGATAAAAGATTTAAATATGACGATAATAATCAAAGTTAGAGATAATTATTCTGAACCCTAATATTTATATGTTAGGGTTTGAATCATGGCCCTATAAATAGAGAGGCCAGTTCCTAGATTCAAGAAGTGGAGAAATCAGTCAAAACCCTAGAGAATTTGGTGGTGCTCTTAGAAATCCATAAATGAGAAAACCCTAAAAGCCCTCCACATGCAGCATAGAGTCGTTCCAATGTCGGATCGTTCCAATTTTTGGTGTGCTTTCTGTTTGGGGTGTTTTCCTATATGTTGTTTGCTTCTGTGGTGCGATCATAAGAGAGGGATTCTACGTTGGATCCCTAAGTCGGATCAACTGATGAAATCAAAGAAGTTAAAGAACACATGTGTATGTATTCTATAGACTAAAATTCAAAATTGGTCAATATAGTTAGCAAAAATGTGTGGATAGAGTCCAAAAAGTATTTAGCTTGCACTAATGGTCCAAAATAGAATATATATATATATATATATATATACACACACACACACACACACATTGTAGTTTTGGTCCTTGAAAAAGTTGAAAGGACTATTTTTTCCTTTTAATTTTATTTTTGTATTTTTTATATTTCTATTAATACCTTCTAATATGAAAGAAAAAAGAAAAAAGAGAAAAATGACCCACCCTATCCCCCACCAATTGGTTCCCCTCTTTCTTTCTCTCTCTCTCTCTCTCTCTCTCTCTCTCTCTCTATATATATATATATATATATATATATATATATATATATATATATATATTATATATATATATATATATATAGGAGTAGGATTAAATGAGAACACCTAGAAGGTTGAGAACGCGAGAACAGATCTGAACCATTTAAAAAACTAAATCTAAGGTTATTATCGAATGGGCCATTTATGTAAATTCTTAAAATTAAAGGAATTAAAATGTAACTTTAAAATTGTCATAAGGGCACAACAGTAATTAAAACTTTAGCTAACTCCTAAAATTTCTTAATTCTCGTCTATTTCCTTTAATATTCCCGTCTTTTTCTTTCTCCCTTGGATACCTAGGGCTTTATGGTTAGTTCTACCTCCTCATTGGCTCATCCATACACCACCCGGAAATTTTCACTATCACATCTTACGTTGCAGCCATCATCACTATCTTCAATCCTCGTTCGTTTCTTAGCCCTTCTTCCCATCAACTTCAGTCAACATCCACTTCAATTGACACTTTCAATCGCCGCTATCTGGTCTTCAATCATCATCCCCAATTGCCGCCTCCTGATCTGCTGTCATCACCGCCAATTGTCGCCTTCTGATATTCAATCGATACCGGAGCCACCATCAACCTACAGGTTTACTAGTTATTTTAATTTTTTGAGCTGCCTTCTGATCTTCAATCGATACCGGAGCCTCTTATTCCACCTCCTCTCTCCCTGTTTTCTTCTTCTTTACGCCTCCATCTTGGATTGGGTTATAATCTTTAGTGATTTTTTGATGCTTTTGTTAGATTCTCAATTTGAGTGGTTCGATTAATGCAGAAACGAGTTCCCCTTTTCATCTTATGCTGCTCCCTTATGTCTATGAATATAATTTCCAGACAGCTGACTTGCCGCTTGTCAGGCCCTAGGTATTTTTTAATATTGCACTATCTACAAAAACCTAATCGGTTTTTTAACTTAGAACCAGGTTCTAGCCATGCTTTGAAATAATATTAGGTGATATGGAAATGATTGTTGTGCATAGTAAGTGTTTGATGAAATGCATAACTATGATTTTCTTTGACTTTTCATGATTTTGAAGTATTCCATTTTATGATTAATCATTTTCTTGTTTTAAGTGCTTATGGTTTTGTTTAACAGTTCTAAGCATTGCTTTTGCAGGTGAGTTATTTTTTGTTTTCCCTTCACTTCTTCTCAGTTGTTTCTCGATTGATATAAAGATTTAGAGGGATCAAACAATTTTAGAACCAAAAGTAATTTATACTATGATATTAATTTATGATAAGAAGTGTATTTATTTTTTGTTAATGATATATATATATATATATATATATATATATATATATATATATATATATATATATATATATATATATATATATGTATTATGAATATAATTACAAGTATAGGAATTCATATGTATGTTATTTTTTGTTCATGTCTCATATTAATTTATAATTAGAAGTGTATTCATATGTGATATATTCATGTATGAATATAATTACAATTATAGGAATTCATATGTATTTTTTATTTTGTTCATGTCTGTTCATTTATAATTTGACGTCATATGTGTTTTTCTAAATATTTTTCATTTAATTGATTGTTAATTGTATTTATTTCTTTATTTGGCAGTGTGTAGAGGAAATCGAGATGCATCTACAAACGGGATGTTGGAGTGCTAATATACAACCAAACAATACAAAGTGGAAAAGATATCGCCTTATTCATTTACGATTATATAATGATAGTTAATTATTTTTATTCGAATTTTTGTTTAAGTTGTATTCATATATGATTATAGAAAAATAGATATGTATTACATTGTAACTTTTTGTGTTACTATTATTTATGAATAGATGTATAATCTAGATATATATCCAATATGTTTTTATTTATTTATGGTTATAGTTGTATTGTAATTTTTCTCTATAAATTGCGTTATATTCGTTTATTATTAAAACTTAATTAATCTATTCATTCACGATTATAATGGATTAATATATGATTACAAATATGTTTTATTTTTGTATGATTACACATATTCGGTTGAAATGATAAATTCATCAGTTTTTTTTGATATATTGGTAAAAAAAAATAAAAAAAAAACGTTTTTTAATCATGGTAAAAATGTTTTTTTTTAATAATCTATTTGATTAAAAATAAATTAAATTCATTTACTATATTTAGGTAAAAATCAATTAATTATACAACATCTCATGATTGTAGGAAATCATTAATTATCCATATTTAATTACATTTTAAAATTCCTTTTACGCCTTTATGAAATGATTGGTCTACAATTGTTCTTGCGTTCTTAACCTTTTAGGTGTTCTCATTTGATCCTACCCACTTAGTATATATATATATATATATATATATATATATATATATATATATATATATATATATATATATATATATCATGTTTATCTCTTTCATGTTACACTTTCCATATACACAGAGAGAGAGAGAGAGAGAGAGAGAGAGAGAGAGAGAGAGAGAGAGAGAGAGAGAGAGAGAGAGAGAGAGAGAGAGAGAGAGAGAGAGAGAGAGAGAGAGAGAGAGAGAGAGAGAGAGAGAGAGAGAGAATTTGGTGGAGGATGGGATGGCTTTATATTAAAAAAAAAAAAAGCAAAATAATCCTTTCAACTTTTTCAGGACGAAAACCACAAAAAATATTTTATTTTGGACCATTAGTGCATGTTGAACTATTTTGAACCGAATCCATATTTTTTTGCTAACCATAGAGACCAGTTTTGTGTTTT